GACGCCACACCTTCACATGAATTCTTGTTGCTCACGTACCAGGAGATTCCCAGCAGAGGAGCCCCACGGGTCGCCAGCGCGACTCTTGTGACCGGCAAGGCGGTTTTGCCGGCGCCTTGGAGCGAGGGTTCTTGGTGCAGAGTCAGAAAAGCACCGTCAATCTTAACGCCGCTGATTTAGTCGGTGCAGTGGGTTGCTCAGATTTCGGCGCTGAGAATCAGTAAGTTGGACGTCCACTCAGAAACCCAATTACAAAGACGGTGAATTCAAAGACCACAGATGGATAAATTTATAACGAAGGGAGGAAAACGGCCAAAAAAGGCTGAGAATGCCCAAGATCAGAACGCCTCTCCCTCAGCGGGGGATCCCAGTTCCTCATCGGCAACGGAACAAGGCTTGATGGAGAACGAGTGTGTTCCAATTACAGAGGCAGGCTTCAAAATGTGGATAATGAGAAACTTCTGTGAATTAAAAGAACTTGTTTTAACCCAATCTAAAGCAACTAAGAACTTTGAAAAAAGATTTGATGAAATGTTAACGAGAATACACAATTTAGAGAGGAATATAAGTGAATTGATGGAGCTGAAAAACACAATAGGAGAACTTCGTGAAGTATGCACAAGTTTTAACAGCCGAATTGATCAAGCAGAAGAAAGGATATCAGAGGTCGAAGACCAACTCAATGAAATAAAACAAGAAGACAAGATTAGAGAAAAAAGGATACAAAGGAACGAGCAAAGTCTCCAAGAAATATGGGACTATGTGAAAAGACCTAATCTACGCTTGATAGGTGTACCTGAATGTGACGAAGAGAATGAATCCAAGCTGGAAAATACGCTTCAGGACATTATTCAGGAAAATTTTCCCAGCCTAGTAAGGCAGGATAATATTCAACTCCAGGTAATACAGAGAACACCACAGAGATATTCCTCAAGAAGAGCAACTCCAAGGCACATAATCGTCAGATTCACCAGGGTTGAAATGAAGGAGAAAATACTAAGGGCAGCCAGAGAGAAAGGTCAGGTTACCCACAAAGGGAAGCCTATCAGACTTACAGCAGATCTCTCAGCAGAAACCCTACAAGCCAGAAGAGAGTGGGGGCCAATATTCAACATCCTTAAAGAAAAGAACTTTCAACCCAGAATTTCACATCCAGCCAAACTGAGCTTCACATGTGAAGGAAAAATAAATTTTTTTGTGAATAAGCAAGCACTCAGAGATTTCATCACCACCAGGCCTGCTTTACAAGAGCTTCTGAAAGAACCACTACACATATGAAAGGAACAAACAGTATCAGCCTTTCTAAAAAAATTATCAAAAAGAGCATCAATATAATGAAGAATTTACATCAACTAATGGACAAAATAGCCAGCTAATGGCAGTATTAAACTCACATATATTATTATTAATTCTAAATTTAAATTGACTAAATCCCCCAATCCAAAGACAGGCAATTTGAATAAAAAACTAAAACCCATCAGTATGCTGCATCCAGATCCATCTCACATTCGAGGATACACAAAGACTCCAAACAAGGGATGGAGAAAGATTTACCAACCAAACAGAGAGCTAAAATAAATAAATAAAAAGCAGAAGTTACAATTAAGCAACAAAGATCAAAAGAAGCAAAGAAGGACATTATATAATGATAAAAGGATCAATACAACAACAAGAAGAGCTAAAGATCCTAAATATATACGCACCCAATACAGGAATACGCAGACATACAAGACTTATAAAGAGACTTAGACTCCCACATAATAATAGTGGGAGACTTCAACAATAATATTAGACAGATCAATGAGACAGAAAATTAACAACGATATTCAGGACTTGAACTCAGATCTGGAACAAGTAAATGTAATTAACATTTATAGAACTCTGCACTTTAAATATACAAAATATACACTCTTATCAGTACCACATCATATCAACTTAGAAGTTTAAAAGAAATCTTGTTTGGCTCCTTGTTTGCTATTCTCTTCCCTCATTTTCTTTCATGTCTCCATTATTAAGGACAATTATAGGCATACCCATATTTAGACTGCATTCTAGCTCGGGCAATAAAGCAATACCCCCATCCTCTCTCCTTCTTCCTCTTTCTCTTTCTTCCTCTTCTTTATTCTTTAAAAAAAAAAAAAAAAAAAGAGATGGAAAAGACGTAAGCATCCATTCCCTTCTGGTATTAGTGGTCAGGTGTGTATGTTGACAGCCTGGTACATAGCAAGAGCCATCTTGCTAATGCCCATGTAGACTATCAAAGGGCAGGGGGAATAGGAGGGTTGCCATGGTACCAGGATGGGTAATCCTGGGAGGAAACTGGAAATAGATGCAGTCGGCACAGGTTCGTGGTATCCTCATGAGTGATCCCCTCCCTCAGTCTGGGCAATAGTGTGCCAGCTGGGGCTGGGGGCGCAGCTTTGTAGCATTTGTGCATTTCCATGGTGTAACCTACTCCCTCCCACTATGGCCAGTTTTAAGGTGCTAAGAGTTTAACACCCAGCTCAAAAAATTCCTGAAAATATAACAATTGGCTCTGACACAGCACATGCCCCTGAGTTTCCTCCCTAGAACTCCCTCTCTAGCACTCTGTAATGATGCAGAGTGAGAAGCTTCTATTTCCTCCAACCTGCCTGAAATCAGCCAACCTGCTCACCATGAAGAAGTAAGCACGGGCAGGGCACGGTGGCTCACGCTTCTTTGGGAGCTGAGGCAAGAAGATCACTTGAGCCCAGGAGCTCAAGATCAGCCTGGGCAACATAGTGAGACTCCATCTCAAAAAAGAATAGAAGGAGCAAGCCTGACAGCTAACAAAGTATGTGCTCTTGTGAGGTTTTTTTTTTTTTTTTTTTTTTTTTTTTTTTTTTTTTTGAGACAGAGTTTCGCTCTTGTTACCCAGGCTGGAGTGCAATGGCATGATCTTGGCTCACCGCAACCTCCATCTCCTGGGTTCAAGCAATTCTCCTGCCTCAGCCTCCCGAGTAGCTGGGACTACAGGCGTGCGCCACCATGCCTAGTTAATTTTTGTATTTTCAGTAGAGACAGAGTTTCACCATGTTGACCAGGATGGTCTCGATCTCTTGACCTCGTGATCCACCCGCCTCGGCCTCCCAAAGTGCTGGGATTATAGGCGCGAGCCACCGTGCCTGGCCATCTTGTGAGGTTTTGCCTTCTCTTCCTCTCAGAGAGGGATGCCTGTGTCTTAGTTTTGGTTGGCCTGGAAGAGGAGCTGGTTAAGGATTGAAGTGGGAGTAGTGTATTTGGGAAGCAACCACAGAGAGCACCTGCAGGAGTGTAGAGAAATGCAACAGGGCATAGCAAGTCAGGAGAGGATGTGGTCACAAACAGGTCTTCGTTGACAGCAGCCCACCTGGGGACCCCCGGGCAATGGGAAACGCACTTCTGAGTTGTCCCCCCAAAGACGAGAAGAAAAACATTTTTCCACCAACTCCCACCCATCCTTGGTTGAGGCTGCTCCCTGGAGTGCAGACTTTCCAGTACTTCCAGTTGACCGACCCCATAGCAAAAAGCCTCAGATACTTCTAGTGGCTACAGAATGGTGAGCGGGGCAGACACAAGCCGTGTCTGAAACACCAGTGCAACAGAGTCACAACCTGTGTGTCACTCTGCATGTCTCTTCTAGCCACAGCACCTCACTCCACTGAGCAGGATTCTCATTCTGTTTGCTTGTTTTTTATTTATTTATTTATTTATTTTGAGATGGAGTCTTGGTCTGTCGCCCAGGCTGGAGTGCCGTGGCGCGATCTCTGCTCACTGCAACCTCCGCCTCCCAGGGTCAAGCGAGTCTCCTGCCTCGGCCTCCTGAGTAGCTGGAACTACAGGCACATGACACCACACAAGGCTAATTTTTTGTATTTTTAGTGGAGACAGCGTTTCACTGTGTTAGCCAGGATGGTCTCAATCTCCTGATCTCATGATCTGCCTTTCACAGCCTCCCAAAGTGCTGGGATTACAGGTGTGAGCCACCGCGCCGGTCCTTTTTGCTTGTTTCAGAGACGGGATCTTGCTTCTTTGCCCAGGCTGGAGTGCACTCGTTTGATGCTAGCTCACTGCAGCCTAGAACTCCCTGGCTCAAGCAACCCTCCCCCATAAGCCTCCAGAGTAGCTGGGACCAACGTATTCTTGGTCTTTGGTTTTTTGGTTTGTTTCTTTAGATAGGATCTCATCCTGTCACCCAGGCTGGAGTCTACTGGCGCAATCTCAGCTCACCGCAACCTCTGCCTTCCAGGCTCAAGCAATCCTCCCACCTCAGCCTCCTGAGTAGCTGGGATTACAGGCACGCACCACCATGCCCAGCTAATTTTTGTATTTTTAGTAGAGACAGGGTTTTGCCATGTTGCCCAGGCTGCTATTAAACTCTTGAGCTCAAGCAATCCACCGGCCTCGGCTTCCCAAAGTGCTGGGATTACAGGCGTGAGCCACCACACCCGGCCGTATTCTTGTTTTTTAACAATACCTAAAACAAGCCCACAAGTTAAATCTGCTATCCACCAGAAGAAACTGTGATGTGTTTCAATGCCAGAGGAAATGCCAGGAGTTATGGGCTTTCCTGAGTTAGGATTTTCAGAAAGCACAGGAGTCTTAGAGGACTTGTGCCTGCAGGCAGACTGTACCTGCTCGGCCAGCCACCTGTGGGCCTGGACCGTGCTTCTCTGAGTGTTAACAACACGCTTGGCCCCTCCCTCGAATGTCCTTCCGAATGAGCAGGAACAGCTCCACAGCATCCCCCCTTCCACCGCACGCAGAGTAGGATTAAGGAATGAAGCCCCTGAATTCCCTGCTGGGGGTTCCACTGAGAATGGGGGTGGCGCCTTGGACCTCTTGGCTCTGTGGCCTCACCCTGTGTCCTGGATGGAACACTGCCCTGGACACCTCTGTGTCACGCTCACACACACTCGCACTCACACGTGGCCTCCCTGAGTTAAGGGCTCAGCTGTGGTGAGAGAGAAGGGGCAAAGCAAGTGAGACTGAAGCCTGAGGAAATTGCTCTCACAGTTTATTTCTCAGAGCCCAGAAGCCTGAGCCAGGAGAGGGCACACGCTAGGCCTCTGTTCTGGGTGCAAGCTTCCCAAAAAAATCCTTGATTTTCTGGCCAATTTTTTTAAGTCCTCCGCCAATCTTCTCTCCGGCTTTCTGGAGGATACTGCCCAGCCGGGCAACTGTCCTCTTATCCTGGGGTTGTGTACAGGAAGAAACAGGTTCCTTGTGACGGCTGTGCCCAGGGTCAATCCAAGACCCCCTTCCCACCTAGATCCCCCCTTCATGGCCCCCCAGCAGGAGCTTTGGGGCCCCAGTTCAACCTCTGGCTGTGACCCTTGAAGCATGTGGTTGAATCCCTACACGCAGTAGCAAGATGAGAAAACAGTCCTGGAGATGGTGAAGGTCTTTGCAAGGTCACACAGCCCAGCCTAGCAACACTGAGATGGGAACACAGGGCTGAGAGCTGAATGCTCTAAGAAAGCCCTAAGTGGCTCTCAAACTTTACAGGAGCCAGAATCTTCTGGAAAGCTGATCAAAATACAAACTTCTGGGCCCTACCCAGAGTCTGTCTGAGTTGGTCTGAGTAAGGCCTGAGAATTTGCATATCTAACGAGTCTCCAGAAAGGGCTACACTTGGAAGAGCTACTGCTCTGAGGGATTCCAGAGCCGCCCGGAGATGGAGCTCAGATTGAAGGAAGAGCCCTGGGTAGGCGGGGCTTTCTCTGCCCTGGGTTGGGAGGGTAGGTAATTGACCCATAGAATAGTTCACATTCCATGCTCCCATCAGTCCCTGCATCCCAGAACAGCTCACTCACCTTATCACAACTGATGTCAAAGGAGTCCTCTGCCTGGTTCAGGGTCACTGTCCCCACACACCACTTCACCAGCTGGAAAGGAGAAGCTCAAGGTCGAACTTGAATCCATTTGCCATAACCTCCCAGCCCCACCCCAGTGGGACATGTTCCCCAGGCACCCCTTGTTCGGCTCTCTGGGAGGCACCCACCAACACCCCCAGCCCCCAGCCTCACCCCGTCCATCTTGAAGTCACACTCCTCCGGTGACCGCTGTATTGTCCTGGGGCACACTGTCTCCTTCACTGTGAAGCTCACAGGCTTCGGGGTGTCTGGATCCCCATCCTAGTCAGAGGAGGAAATGGGGAGGTCCATTCTTGTATTTTCTGATTTGTGTCCCTGACCCCCCCGCACCAAGAGAGCAGGCTTTCAACAGCACCTGGTGTGGGATGGGCCCTGGGCTTGGGGCTCGGGTACTGAGGGAAGGAGGACTGAGCCATTCCTGCCCTCCTAGCTGGACAGTGAGTAGGAGCAGACCTCAGATGAGCTCTAACAAGGAGCTCTTCCCACTCTGGGGTGGGGGCAAGGGAACTCAGGGGTCTCCCTGGGAGATAAGACATTCCCACTGGAACCTAAAGTCTGGACAGAGTTCTTCCCTGTGTGGGGTAACATGGTACAGAAGGGAATTAAAGCAGAGGAGGTCCCTGCCCAGAGCCAATGACCCCACCCTAGTGCCCGGAGCTCGCAGATGTCCCTACTCCTGCACGGGGTCGGGTGAGGGTATCTCTGCCACAGCAGGAATTCTAAGACAGGAAGCTCTCATTCTGGGAGGGGACACAAGCTCTAGACAGTTCCCTGGAAAAGATGGGACCACACTTAAAGGGGGAGGTGCCCTCCTGGCAGGCGGTGCAGCAGGAGCGGGAGTGATAGAAGGCTAAGCCTGGCCAGAGCAGAGCAGAACCTCCCCCACAGCTCACCACTGTGGGCCTCGGGTCCAGGTTCAGGAGGCGATAGAGGTTGGCATCCGAGGACCGCTGGTTGAGGCCATCTACAGCACGAAGCACAGCCTCCTGGTAGCTGAGGACCCGGGCAATGACGGCCAGAGGCATGGTCAGGCCCAGCAGCAGCAGCAGTGACCACTGCCCCAGGGAGGGGCCATCCCTCTGGGTCTTCATGGTCCCCATGTCTGCCTCCCTCCAGTCCACAGGAGCCTCCTTTATGCCCAGCCTGAGCCTGATGCAAAGGCCCAACCAGGAGCCTTCCTGATCCACCCATCCCTGGCTGCCTGCCAGGATGTGGGCTGAGATTTGCTTCAGCCCCTGGCTGTTGCTTCATCGGCCTTGCTTCGCAGTGAGGAAGACATGCCTTGTGTGCAGGATGAGGAAGTGGTTTCTCTGTCTCTCTGATGACCTGCCAGACCCGACAGGAGATTGTCATAGCCAGAGTTGCTCAAGAGCGTTAAGTCCTCAAGAGAGGAAGAGAGCCAGGTGCTATTCTTCATCCTTCTACTCCTCAGGAGTCAGCATGATGGATTTACTTGTTTACTGCTAAATCTCCAGCTCTAGGCACTGCCTGGCACCCAGTAGGCATCAATTAAGAATTGATGAATGAGGTGGGTACAGTGGCTCACGCGTGTAATTCCAGTACTTTGGAAGGCCAAGGCGGGTGGATCACCAGAGGTCAAGAATTCAAGACAAGCCTGGCCAATATGGTGAAACCCCATCTCTACTAAAATACAAAAATTAGCCAGGCACGGTGGCTTACACCTGTAGTCTCAGCTACTCGGAAGGCTGAGGCAGGAGAATCACTTGAACCCGTTGAACCCGGGAAGCAGAGGTTGCAGTGAGCTGAGATCGCACCACTGCACTCCAGCCTGGGCAACAGAGTGAGACTCAGTCTCAAAAGAAAAGGAAAGAACTGATGAATGAAGACGATAAGCACCCACAACCTAGAGACTCACCCTTGCAAGGGAGAAGTTGCCCTTTCAGTTCAAGGCCATACTGCCCGGCTCTCTGGACCCAGCCCTCAGCCAGATGGAGGCTCCGATCCATCCATCCCTTCTGCATCTTTCTTCGCTGTTTTTCTCAGTCTCAAAATGTTCCCAAGCCCCTCCAGATGTGGCCTTTCACCCTAGTTTCTCCAAACCCAAGTCTTAGGAAAGTTTGTCTACACTTGTTAACCCCATTTTTTCACTGTTCTTCACACTGGAGGCCACCGCAGGCTGGCCAGCCCACCCTGGGCCCACTGGCCACCCTCAGTCTTTGTCTGCACAGGCACTGGTGACCCTTCCTTCCTGCTGCCCCAGTCTGCCCTGATACCACTTTCCTGCTGTCCCTCCTGCCTCCCTGGTAGCTTCTTCTTGGTCACTCCCAAGGGCTGTCTTCTTTTTTATTTATTTTTTTTTTGAGACTGAGTCTCACACTCTTGCCCAGGCTGGAGTGCAGTGGCACGATCACGGCTTCCTGTAACCTCCACCTCCCGGGTTCAAGCCATTCTCCTGCCTCAGACTCCAGAGTAGCTGGGACAACAGGCGAGTGCCAGCATGCCCAGATAATTTTTTGTATTTTTAGTAGATACAGGGTTTCACCGTGTTAGCCAGGATGGTCTTGATCTCCTGACTTCGTGATCCGTCTGCCTTGACCTCCCAAAGTTCTGGATTACAGGCGTGAGCCACCACACCTGGCCAGGGCTGTCTTCTTTTTTTTTTTTTTTTTTTTTTTTTTTTTGAGAGGGAGTTTCGCTCTTGTTACCCAGGCTGGAGTACAATGGCGCGATCTCGGCTCACCGCAACCTCCGCCTCCTGGGTTCAGGCAATTCTCCTGCCTCAGCCTCCTGAGTAGCTGGGATTACAGGCACGCGCCACCATGCCCAGCTAATTTTTTGTACTTTTAGTAGAGACGGGGTTTCACCATGTTGACCAGGATGGTCTCGATCTCTTGACCTCGTGATCCACCCGCCTCGGCCTCCCAAAGTGCTGGGATTACAGGCTTGAGCCACCGCGCCCGGCGGCTGTCTTCTTAATATTGAGAGCTTGTGGGGTCGCCTCCTGGGCTGCTTCTCTTCCTTGGCCTCGGGTTTCCCTGGGGACGCCCTCTCCCAGGACACCAGTTGTAATGGGCAGACACCACCCGGTCTGAATCTCTGAGTTCAAGACTCCCATGAACATCCGGGTTGTCCCCACCGGGCCCCCTCGTCTGCTCTTCTGCTGAGTTCCTGCTGCTTGAGACCTGAAGCACTCCCAGCTCCTTTTTCCTGAAGGGACTCCCCGTGGCCTCCCCCTGCACCCTGTCTAGCTCCTGCCACCCTCTTCTCTCCTGTGCAGTGCTGCCCCAGCCTTCAGACTCCACCTACTCTAGGTTTCAGGCTCTCCCCAGACCATAGTCCACCCTCCACATCCTCGTCCAGGGGTTCCTTCAAACCACGGGTTTGGCCATTTCTACCTTCCGGACCCCACACGCCCCCTAGCCTGGCATCAGGGCCTGAGGCCTTTTTGCTTCCACTGCCCTCGCCCCAGCCCTGCACACCCCAAGTGCCAGAATGTCACATGCACCCCCATCCCATAGGCTCTCTGGGTCTCCTGCTCTTTCTCCCAGCTCTGTCCCACTCCCCCAGTTTGGCCTGCCCTTCACCTCAGGAAGCTCTCCCTGACCTCCAACCAGGCAGAGCCATGCCCTCTTTGCCCCTACAGCTTCCGGGAAGTCTCTCTTGATTTGACCTCAAATTACTCCCTGTTTGGGGCTCTGACTGAGACACTGAGCTGACTGGCTGACTGGTATTGGCAGAGGGAGAACACAGCTGGAGAGATAAAGGGTCAAAGCGTTAGAGGGGTCCAGCGTCCATAAGGCAAATTCCTGTCTTAGCTCCTCTGTGGACTGGCCATGTGGTCCTGAGGCCTGGGGTACCTCTTGACCTCAGTTGGCCTGTGGGACACCTGGGGGCTTGGACAGCAGGGCTCCCAGAAGGTGGCAGCCTGGATGAAGGCCACTGGTTGCACACTTGGCCTTGAGAGAAGGAGGAAGTGGGCTTCTGTGCAACCTGGTTTCACAGTTCAGGTGTTGCCCCACTGGCCTCTTGGTCAAGCAGGGCTTGCACATCAGGCCCTTTATGGCTGTTGGGAAAAGGGCCATCCAGGGACATCAGGCCTCTCAGGGCTTTCCTGCTTCCTCTACCCTGTTTTTTTTTTTTTTTTTTTTTGAGATGGAGTTTCACTCTTGTTACCCAGGCTGGAGTACAATGGTGTGATCGCCATCTTGGCTCACCGCAACCTCTGCCTCCTGGGTTCAAGCAATTCTCCTGCCTCAACCTCCCAAGTAGCTGGAATTACAGGCATGCACCACCGTGCCTGGCTAATTTTTGTATTTTTTTTAGTAGAGACAGGGTTTCTTCTTATTGGTCAGGCTGGTCTCAAACTCCTGACCTCAGGTGATCAGCTCGCCTCAGCCACCCAGAGTGCTGGGATTACAAGCGTGAGCCACCACGCCCAGCCTCCTCCACCCTTCGTACTGGCTTCAGGATCCTCAAGAAGCCAAAGTGGGAAAGAAGCAGATGGCAGTGTTAGTCTTTAGGCTAGGGTGTGAGACCCGCATGGTCTTGTGTTTCTCTAGGTGAGATCTGGCATACTCAGAGCCCCTTTCCAGCTGCCTCAAGAGGACATTCCACCTTGGCCAGTGCTGGCCACGCCCTCACATGAAATCAGCCAGGGCCCAAGCAGGATGCACAGGTCTTCTGATACAACTGCAGAAGTCTGGACTCAGGGGGACTTGCTTTCCCTCTCGGGGCCGTCGCACAAGGTCCAGGCTACCCAGGTTCCAGGAGTGAGTCCTGTCCAGGGCACCTCCACTACTTAAGGTAGGGAGGCTGACTTTAGACCTTTAGAACCCATGGCTGCCCCTTCCTCCTAGCGAGGGAGAAAGAAGGCCCTCAACAGCTTGCCTTTTTCATAATGGCTCACCCCATTACTAGAGTGATCAGAAGATTCTAGACAAGGCAGAATGAGAAAAAAAAGTGAGGCTTTTTTACATCGAGACTTGAGAGCTAGATAAATGTCCCTTCCCAAAGGCCTGGGCAGCCCCTGTCCCTCTGGCGCTATCACTATCTATCTATCTATCTATCTTCCATCTATCTATCTATGTATCTTTCTATCTATCTATCTTTCCTCTCTCTCTCTGAATCTCCCAGCCCCACTTCTCTAAGCGGTCCCTTCCTCTCCTGCAGACCCAGGAGGCTCCGGCTCCTATGCAATGTGATCAGGGAACCTGGTGCATTGAGGCTGCTAAAGGCTCTGGGAGACCTTCCAAAGATGAGCGGATGCTGGAGCTACCCGCTCCCATTCCCAGCCTCTAAGATTTTCAAAGATGGCTCCAAGTACTCCGAGCTCTGCTGACCACCTTCATCTCAGGCCTTTTCCAAACTATCCACTGTGGACATCTCTGCCCAGCCCAATACAAATCCCAGCTCAGGCCGGGCATGGTGGCTTATGCCTGCAGGGCCAGCACTCTGGGATGCCGAGGTGGATAGATCACCTGAGATCGGGAGTTCAAGACCAGCCTGATCAACATGGAAAAACTCCGTCTCTACTAAAAATACAAAATTAGCCAGGCATGGTGGCATATGCCTGTAATCCCAACTACTTGGGAGGCTGAGGCAGGAGGACCTCTTGAACCTGGGAGGCGGAAGTTGCAATGAGCCGAGATTGCACCATTGCACTCCAGCCTGGGCAACCAGAGCAAAACTCTGTCTTATAAAAATAAGAAAAAAAAAATCCCAGCTCAGAACCTGGTCAGTGTCCTTCGTTCCCCTGTGCTTCCTGGTGGCAGAACCCCTGCGGGAGGCCAGGACTGCATGCTGCCTCTCCTGGCACCTTGCCTGTACCTCAGACCCGCCTTCCCCATCTCCCTCTATATCCCAGGCCCCCAGTCTCCAGCCATCCTTTTTGTTACTGTCAGGGTAAAATGCCAACCAACTGCCAGGTCACATCACTCAGGTCATGGTGGACTTAGAATTGGAACTTCAGGGCTGGCCATGCAGATATGCAGCCCTGGGGTCCTGGTGCAGCTGTGGTGGCAACACCAATCTCGTTCAGGTAAGACCAGCGCTGCCCCTACTGCAGGGGAAGGCATAAGGGGAGGCTGCAGAGGCCACAGCATCAGGGGAGGAATCTGGGAAGAAGGCAGACTTGAGATGGGAGAGAGTGCCAGGGCCAGCAGAACAGGCTGAGCAAAGGCACGGTGGCCAGCAAGGGCTGGAGGAGGAGATAGGAGAGGAGGAGAGGGTTGGAAACAGTGACAGAGGAAAGGGGACATTGGTCCATAAGAGACTCAGTGGGGGC